GTTTTTATATTCTTTTTTTTTTGTTATTATTTATTTGAGTTATTTCGGGGTCGATGTGACTTAATACGGTAAATCTATTAGAATTTTGTGAATTATGAGCATTGGAATCGAGAGCTTGTTTCTTTGCAGCAGGTGTACTGTCTTGCACCGTTTCCCTATTTCTTTTGCATTTTCGTGTTTATGTCTGTTGCCATGGGATATTTGAATCTGTAGTGTCCATTTGAATCTGTAGTGTCCATATCGGTTTGTATTATATCAGCTAGTATTGACGGGTCTCCTGGAATTATCCGTTTACGTGTTCTGTTTGTATTGAGTGTTTCGAAAATGGTCGTGTCTAGATGAGATGAGTTGGTATGTGTGACTCGTGTCGACATAATAGGTATAGCTTGTTGTGTATGCTGTCTATTTCGATAAGATGTTGAGGTCGTAGTGGTTGTAATGACATCGGCAGTGGTAATAGTATATATGGGTGAGAAGGCTGGTCCTCCACTGGCTTGTGACATCGCTAGTGTTGACCACTGTGGTTATGAGTGGTTGTTTTATTATGTAAGCGATACTTACGGTTCACACACTGACACTTATACACTAATCACAATTCACACAAGTAATTTGGATCTCCGTGCACTTTGTTTGTATTCGGGGCTCACTACACGTCTTGTCTCTTCGACGGTTTGCGAGCGAATATCTCTGTTAAATGTGTTCAACTAAAGGATATTATGATAAATCAGAAGTTTATGAAAGTACAGATTTATAATTATTAGAGAAGAAATATCAAATATTACTAGCAAAAAGTGATCAATTCAGTGAGTGATTTAACGGTATGTAGAACGTTCCGAAAAATCTGCAGTTTTCCGAACTCGGAAGCTATAGATTCGCCATGTGAAAACAAATCGAAAGTTCCTTTATAATTTTACAATTTGAAGGTTTGTTTTCAAAAGAAAAGCAATTAACTCTTTCCACTCCAAGGTATTTTCTCGCAGGAGAACTAGCAACTACGCGATATTCTTAAAGAAAGATCAAAGTAATATCTATTCAAATTGAAAATAACCTTTTTATTTAATAGTTTCATATGGCGTTAGGTTTTAAAAAGAAAATATGCATTATAAATTAATCCTTGCAATCATTAAAGTGCAGAGCTCAAAATTCGAAAACCAAATTGTAACGTCCGATTTTTAAATAGCTGGCGATCGAAATGTTAATGTTAATGTTACTGTGTAATAAAAGAAGCGAAAATAGAATTCCCAACCGTATTGTGAAACAGTACTATATAATAATGTGATATTAATATGTGATATTAACTCCAACGATGAATTTCATAGTAAATAAATGTAATGAATGTACCTATAAAATGTGAAAAAAAACCTATTCTTGATGTGGGTACGCTGCATATGCTCGCCAGTAAGATACTGTAACTTTTATAATATCAAAGTTATGTGGTAATTGTAAGAAGTATTATCTTTTCTTGTTAAGTTCTTCTTTGATATAGTACATATTGTCCATGCGACACAATTCCTTATTGCATTAAACGTTCTATAAAGTCCAACTATTAATAAATATTATTTATCTTATGTCAGTGGGGTTGTTACATCCGAGGAATATTCCTTTTCCGTCGGTATTCGGGTCGCGACCGAATTGACTCGCAGGAATGCATTAACGCAGTATTCTGCGAAAGCGATCGCGTAACTCCAAAATGTGCATGAGTGACAAATGAGAACTCGATTTGGCACACTTTCGGGTATAAAAACCGCCGACAAGTGCGAGTGAGAGGATTTTTCGTGACTTTACACTTCGAGGCTTCTTTCGCACTCGGCCAGCGGTCATTCGCGTATCGTATCTCCGGGTCTGATAATACAAGACCCGTAAACAGTTAATTCTGGGAGTGCGTGCGCTATCGCGTAGGTCCACCGCGAAAGATAAGATTATCATCGGCGTCTAGAGGGGCGAAGTAGTACCCGAAACCGAGCCACCATCAGTCACGAGTGTAAGTGCATGTGAGAGAGAGAGATCATCATTGTAAGTAAGGAACATATACAATAAAATCCAGTATAACCAACAAAAGGCTTAGTCAGTTCGGAAATAGCCTCCATCGAATTCCCCTGATTAGGCTAGAAATCGGAAACAGGCTAGGGTTAAGGTGTGCGTCAACACTTTAAGGTTAAAGAAACGCAGAATAGAGCGCGACGTAACAGCGTAAAGGTTAAGAGACTCCGGTGGTAGAGTTCGGCGACAATTCCTGGACGCGCACCTGCAGATAACGATTGATACCCAGGCAGGAGAGTACGGCGAAACCCTCCTGGACGCCTGCCTGGTGAATAGGGGGAGAGTACGGGAGTTTGTTCCTGGACACTCGGTCGACATGGAGAGTTCGGCGAATATTCCTGGACGCCTGTCGACTGAGAGAGGTCAGAGCATCTCCTGGACGCCCCAGGTAAAGTACAGAAGAGTACGGGAGAAAACTACTGGTCGCCCGTTCGGAATGGAGAGTTCAGAGAGAATACCTGGACGCCATTCGAACGGGAGAGAACAGAGTTATTCCTGGACGCCTGGTTGATGAGAGAGAGAGAGAGAGTTAAAGAACCGCATTATATAGCTGCGAAAGAAAGAAAATTTGTAACTCCGTTATTCCTGTACGCTCTCCTAACCTCCGAATAAGTATTCCTATTTTCCAGAATACCTGTATCCTGAAATAAGATGGCTACAGAGTATAATTCCAGTTACTATACAATAAAGTTGAGAGACAAAATAGAATACTTAACACGTACTTTATCTTCGAAAGTGAAAATTTTCACGTTCGTTGGTCTGACAGAAGAGAGACGATATCATATTGTCCGGGGACAGTATTCAGACAGAGAAGCGTGTGAAAGGATAGGAATGTGCGCACTCTTTGTCCTTTGATTGCATAGAGCAGTCGTTGGTCCCATTACTCTTTTCAACTCTGGAAGTACAAGAACGAAATACCTCTCTTGTTCCTATTATTATTTTATTTCAGTGCTAAAATCTTAATTGCAGTTATATTCTGCAATTTTAATTATAAAATCTCCAAGAAATAATAAAATGTGGAAATTCGTTGCATATATACACGCCTAAATAGTCTTATTTACCTATAAGGTGTTCCATCTAACTTGTGCATCTTGAATGCCTAGCTTATTTTTTATAATAGAGAAAAATGTCAGAGATAAACATTATTTTCTTCGAAGGGACAATTGTTATGACCACGAAGAAATTATTCTCGAAGTCATTTTTGACGAGATTTCTGTTCATTTATAAACACTGTATATCGTAGTACTATTTGAATTTTAATCTTAATCATAGTTCCATTTTGTGTTACTCTATGCTGCTATTTAATTTTAATTTCGATTTTATTGTTGTTATTTGACTTTTGAATTGTTTTTCGATACTCTCTACAATAATTGTACTTAATACAAAAAGTGATCTGTGGAAAATTCTAAGTTTATCGGTTAACGGAAAAACGTGACGTGAAACTTTTAAATATTAAAGTAATTAATTGAAAATGCATATCAAGTCATTTCCCCTTTAGATTATCTTTTAAACTGCTAATTATATCATGAAGCGTGTCAGACAAAAATCTTTATGCAATATTTAAACAAGAGTTACACAGGAATGTGGAATTATAGTCGGATTAGAATAGACCAGTTAAATAAATAAGAGGTTTAATAAGACGAAAAGTGTAGTGAATCATAGAAAATTTGAACATCCTCGCTCAATATAAGCAGAAGATAGCAGCTGTCACAGGAAATTATGCACGTTGTACAGAAATGTAAATTTCAAAGTGTATACATATGTTTCAAAATATTTCTTGATTCCTAAAGTACAAAAAGTATTATTTGCAAGAATAATGAGATCAAAAGAATAACATTACCAAACAGTAGCTTAGATTTAAGTTTCACAGAAAATTGATGATTAACATGGAAAAAATTAATTCCAAAAGTAAAGGAAATTCCAAAAGTAAACTTTAACATTCCTGGAAACAAAAGAAACTTTTTCTAAAATTTGAACTTATTTCGTGATGGGGAACCTAAATGAGAAAACATATAAAATTAATTGATAAAAAATCATTCGCAGCATACCTTGAGAATGTTTGATTCATGTATTGCTGCATAGACTGAATATTTAGTGCGTGATGCGAATGCTCATTTTATGTATGAAATAAACAAGTAGTAAGTATTCACACAGTTCTTACATTTTTAAAAATTCATATGAAAAACACAATTTAAATTATTTTTATATCAAAAATCTAATATAAACCGTTAATTAAGATTTTTTACGATATCATATTGACAATTCTTGTTGCAATTTTTTTAGACTTTGAATTAACTACATTCGATAATATATGTGTTAGAAGCTTGTTCCATTCCTCCATGAGAGCATTTTATAAGTCAACTTTTGGAAAATCTCATATTTTCTAATTTGAAGTTTCAAATAAAATGTTCTGTGAGATTATTATCAGGAAACTGCAGAGGAGTTTTTACATATAGGGGTGTATTATAGAGTATCCACATTTTGGCATTGTATGCAGTATATTTTGGATCATTATCGTTCACGGAAACGGAATTATATTTAATATTCATTTTTCCTGCACTAGGAAAAACACTGCGTTTTAAGATGTCAATGTAAACCTTGTGGTTCATTATTTCGTTGACAAAGTATAATGTGCCAACACCAGCTGTACTCATGCACCCCCAAAACAATTACGGAACCTGCACCGTGTTTCACTGTAGGTCGTAAGTTCTCTAGTATTAGTTCTACCTTTGTTTTTCTCCAAATAGTGCAGTGTCCATCAGACTCGAAAATGTTAAAGTTGCTTTCATCTGAGAAAATAACTTTATTTCAATATTCCATTGGGGCTGTAATATTATTATTTCTGAATTGTTATCTCTTTTTTTGTATGTTCCACTTACTAAATATTTTCTTCCGACTATCCAACCGTCACAACATTGACTTTGTATAAAACTATGTACTACGTACTAACAGGTACATTACGATTTGAATTATTTGTAACGTACTTTACTGCGTTTATCGCATTTACTCCTGGAGTTTGCTTTATAATTTTAATAACAAATCGACTAGTTTATTGATTAATTTTCTGTGAACGTCCAATTCTTGAATTATTTTGCAGTCTTTTTTGTAGTCCACACTTATTGCATACTTTATACAGTAGATTGTAATTTGTTTACAATCCATGAAATTTTTTCCAAACTTATGCATGTAAATTACTAATAATTTTTCTGCACTGAAAAATTTTTCTTTGAATATGAAACATTTCTCTTTGCATATGAAAACCCACTATATGTTTATTTATTTTTACATTCGATAAATCAAATATTCGTCATATTTATTCTGCAAGAAGAAACACAGTTTTTCATGTATGTATGTGTGTGTATATGATTATGTAATGTTTTTGCTGTTACGCGCCTAGACTGAATGTATGAGAATGCTTCTTTAAAATTAAAACTTTTATATATGTGAATTTTAGCCCAGAGGAAAATATTCATGCAATTGGTAGGACAGTTTCGCAATCACGTTGCTTTTTTTCTCGTCTAATGAACAATTTTCAAAGAAAATAACGTTTCAATAAAATTAAAGAATTCTTTCTAATTTTGAAATTTGAAGAATGTTAGAATAATTTCGTGTTAACGAATACCAAGAAAGATGTATAACTTTATTTCTAATTTGAAAAGACCATTGTATAACTACAGAATGTCCAGTAACTGGTGGTACAACCGGAAAATGATGATTCTACTTAAAAATATAAGTCGGAAATGTAGAATAAAATTTTTTCATATGAAGCTGTGTTTTCGAGAAAAATAGGTTTGAAAATTTATGTAGTATACGTGCATTATACGTGTAGTATAATGTAGTATACGTGTAGTGGTCTACATTCAGCTTGACGAACTTTGCTATGAAGTATATTAATTCCCTCTTATAAGCATATACAATGTTTGTATGCATGGAATATATTGAAAGTCAATGCCACAATATTCAGGAGTCATTTCGCTCAGTACATAAATTGCTGGTAGTGATTTCCATGTTGTTTCATATATAATTGTATTCTTGTTAAAAACTTCCAATAAACGGGTTCATCAAACACCATAATAACTTTCTGTTGTAATTGTTCGGGACTTATTACGTCATGCCTATACACAATAGACTTAACGTAACCCCAAAAATAAAATCCAGTGATTAAACATCGGAAGATAGTGGCGGGCGAGGTATTCTGTCACCTTACTTTATAAACCTTACTTTGCACTACCTTACTTCGCGACTATATGTAGTTGGGTGATGCCCCGTCTTGTTGAAAAATCAAATTTCTTCGAAAAAAGCGGAACATTTGGCGATCATATCAGTACACTTTCGATTGCTATACACAGAATGTCGGAAAAGTAACGGAAATTTTTTAATGCAAGGAGAACTACTAGCGCCATCTATTAAAACTGTTATATACGCGATTGGGGAAGTAGTCCCACGAGCGGACTGCGCGCCGCGGTCACGAAGATCGCCGGGGACACCCGAACAGTACCGAGCGAAAACCGCGCGAGAATTCGATCGTCATTTATTTTTAACCGTTTCTTCCCGGTCGGGCATGGGTTGGCGTCATTCTACTTTTACCACAAGTCTTGTTCACATCGTTATTGAATAAAGTTATTTGTTACAAAATGTGTTCATTGGTCTCCTTCGCCCAAACACAACAAAAACAATATGTTATCTGGAAACAGTATATTTCCCCTACAAAACACTACAATTATTATTGGAATCGAGCAACGAATTGTAAACTTATAATGTTTAATGTGACAAAACCTTTTTTATTTTCTTATAAAAATTTGATCGTATCCGATCCATGGGTCCAGAGAGTAAGATACTATTTTCGGACGAATTCGGAAAAATACTATTTCTAACCGTTGTTTGAAAAGATTTTCGTTTCATTTATCTGATACCGATACTCCGATAACAATATTAGATGCCATCACCATCCTATCTTCATTTCAATTTTAAGATAGATATTCTCAATACACTCTTTACATTTACTACTATTTATTAATAGTTCATAATATTGTTTCAACATAAAAAACACCGTTCTCGAAATTATAAAAAAATAAAATATTTTCAGTTACTATATTTTTTACGTGGTACACTACTCAATGAACGGATACAATCCTTTAATTGCATAATCTAAATTAATCATAAAGTCATTACACTTTATACACGTACAATTTACGGATTTAGATGTCCTGTGCGTCGAATACTGCCACCAGTATGCGCACATAACGCGAAATAAACGGGATATCTGACTTGAGCCCCATGTTTTATGGAGGCACCTATGGACCATCAAGTTCTTATTTTAAATAAATTAGTATAAAAAAATGTAATATAATACGATTTCCAGAGTATTATATACAGAAATCAGTCGTGTTCGAGCGGAAGGTATAAAATATACGTATAACTTCAATGACAGTAATATTTTTTCCACAAGCGAAATTAAAAATTCCAATTTATCGGTATCGGTATAAATTCCAATTTAATGTTATAACGTTTTATTAAAAAAATTTGCAAAATAATGTTAATTTTTAACATATTTTTTAAACAAATCAATTCTTCAAACATCCACTTGCGCCATATTATTGGTTTTCGAAGACCGAAAAATTTTCATTTTGAATTTTTTGCCTAGGCCTAATAGTTCCCGAGATATTTCCGAAAATAGATTTTTCAACCCCAACTTTAAGGGTTAATTTCACCACTTCAAAGTGGATATTCGCCGATAAAAAAATACGTGTAAAATATTTTTTCGAGTTCTATAACATATAAAGATTGCATTAAAATCGTCGTGTATTAACAGGGTGATGTCCCTTGTAAGACAAGAAGTGTCCTTTTCGGGGCATTCTTGTTGTAGCCGTTTTAGTTTATCAGGATATACACCCTTGGACAAAAAGATAGCACATTTCTTGAAAACTACTTAGTAAATATGGTTGACCTTGCTAGGTTTTTGAGCAAGCAGAAGAAATATACAAATAGTGCCGGCGAAATGATAGCACATTCACAGAATTTATACATATATTTTCATAAGAAAATCACTACACCACCCCCACCCATTTGTCTCTGTTTTTACTAATCTTTCTTTTTTTAAATCATGGTAGTAAAATGAAAATGTCAGTAAAAAAAAAATTCGTTTCCATTTCTTCGAAGACAAATGGATGGGGGTGCTGTAATGATTTGGGCTGGAATTTAAACGGAATGGATACAAAGGCAAAACAAGTGTACAGTTTCTTGAAGGAAAAATGAATTCTCAAAAATATATAAATTTAATCTCAAAACAAATTAATGAACACGCACTACGAATTACCACTGATAAATTTATTTTTTAACATGGCAATGCTGCAATTCTCCGAATTAAAGTCGAAGAACAATTTTTCCAAAGAGAAAACGTATCAGTTTTTCCGTTGCCCGCACGCTCCCC